GACCTAAGACTTCCTGGGAAAGCGCGTACCCTATAGAAAATGAGAGCTGAGTCGCAGAACTCCAGCACCACAACAATGGGTCAGTGTGGGAGAGGAGGGCTGTCTTACTACTTGAATTCTAGGAATAAGAAGCCAAAAGAAAGAGCGAGTCAAATGAAAAGAGCTAAGAGAAAAGTAATGTTAGCTTCATTAGAAAGCTAATGAAAAGAGCTTCTTATAGCTTAAGAGTTCTGTTAAATATTCAAAGCACTGATTAGACCTGCTCTGTAACTGAGGCACAGAGTGAGGGGTAGAGGGAGGAGCTAATATTAGGGGAATGAATGAACTCAGGAGAGTGGATAGCCTGCGTACACGGTGGGAAAATGGGAGTGGACTTTATATGGAGGCTTCAGCAGTGGCAATGAAGAGAAACAATTGAGAATGGGACACAAGACAAATGGTAGATTCTGGATGGCAGCTGAGAAGACCGGAGTGTCCGTACATGTGAGACACCTCGGGCCACTCCCAGAGCAAGCTAAGGAAATCAGAATTCTATTAACAGAAGAAGGGGGAAGTGCTAACACGGCATAAACCACACAGGTGCACAGTCAATCTCTCGAAAAGAAGGAAACATCAAGAAATGAAGGAATTCCCAGATTTTCAGGCAGAATTTGAGGAATATGCCCCACTCTCTCCAGGACCAATCATGAGATACAGAATAGAAGGAATCAGAATCGGTGTCCTTAAAGATTATGATGTCTTCCATAAGAACTATGTTTTTTATTCCCAGGAAACGAAGACCTAAAACTAAGACTTCTACAAGGGAAAATGTATAAGTCAAACCTATACTGAAGGAAGGCAAGAAAAAAAGAAGAAACAGGAGGGGGAGAAAAACATCATTAGGTATCTGGGGCATTAGGTTTGAGGTCACCAGCTTTTCCTTTTCTGGGCCTTATTAAAATGTTCGAGACCAAAAAATATATGTACTGTATTTATTGGCTCCAAAATATGAAAAGAAAGCCATAAAATTGAAATTAATAGGTGTTTAATGAAAATGTCTGCAAAACTTAATATTATACCAACTTCATTAATGGCTAAACTTAGTTTTCATAGAAGTTCTATTCTATTGGAAAACAGTTTGAAGGGTAGATAATTCCTCTCTAGGCAGGAATTCCTAGGTGACCCCTGATGATTGCCAAGAAATCTCAGCCATCGTAAGTGAAATAAAGTACTCATGGCCAAAGCATTTCAAAAGTGAAATTTTTCTTCCAAATCTTGTCAACAGTCTTTGTGACAGTGAGGGCTGGGTGCATTTTAATACATGTAGGGTGATGCAGGGTGGGGTCTCAAAGGGAGGGATGCCCAGGTGTCAAGATAGCACAGCACATGGGACACCACAGAGCCAGTGTCCCACGAGACAGAGGCAGCAGTCAAAGGAAATCTGCTCGGCACCATCCCCCAGTCCCCTTCGGGTGGCCCAAGTCCTGCCTGGCTCCCAGCGCCTCCCTGGCTGAGCCCCCAACTCCCTTTTAAGCTTCTATCATAGCAACAGCCCCAGGGCCAGACCCCCTAATTGCCAGCTTCTTCTAAGTGCCAGGAAAAAACCAACCACAACAACCCTCTCCAGCTCTCTGCCCCCTCCCAACACGAGCCCAGGGGGTCAGGCAGGTTCAAAAGGGGAAATAAATGAATCTTTACACATTATAAGGACCCAAGCAACATTCTCGGTGGCATTAGTGCCTGAAATGGCAGCAAGTAAAAGCAGGTGTGCTGAGCGCCCTGTCAGCTAACGACACTGATAAGACTGCCATGCCTGGTTCTGCTTCATTTCAAACAGACTGCTGGAATAAAAAAAAAAAAGGAGGGAAAAGCCAGAGCAGAAATAATTGCTGGAGCTTCCAGTGAGCGGAGGGAGCCTGCAGGCAGAGATCAACGCGCCTGATTTCATCCTCTTCCTTTTATTTCTATAACCTTAAACGTTCTGCTATTATAAAAGTCATCATGTCAGCTTTCTCCCCAGCCTCTCTGGCTGCCCATTTTCAAATTGTATCAATTGGTAAGGCTTTTGGGATGAAGGATTTTCGTCTTGATTTACGGTTTCTGTGCTTTAAAGATGAAGCAAACTCTACTGACCTGGTTCGAGCGTGGAGGCGCGCTGCTGTCCTGGGCACATGTTCATCGTCAGATCCTCCCCAGACAGCATAGAAACTAGGGAAGGGCTGGCGTGTGTCTCTTCTTCTTCTTCTTCTTCTTCTTTTTTTTTAAATTAGGAGTTTGGGATGAACAGATACACATTACTGTACATAAAATGGATAAACAACAAGGACCTCCTGTCTAGCACAGGGAATTATATTCAATTTCTTGTAATAACATATAACAGAAAAGGATCTGAAAAGAAAAAAATAGATGTATATGTATGTATAACTGAATCGCTTGGATGTACACCTGAAACCAACATTGTAAATCAACTACATGTCAACTTACAAAAAGAAAAAAATATATATTAAAGCAAACGGCAAGTGAATAGCATTGTCATGAATCTCCTGCTAAAGTGGTGAAGGGGAGTCTTTGATCCTCAGCAGTCATTTGGGTCTGGGGCAGCAGGCTTTCAGTTCTGGAGGCTATTGATGACCGCTGGCTTCAAAACTGGGGAAGTGAGAACTAAGAGGTGTGCGGGCAGAGCAGGGAGCTCGCGGCAGGGTCCTTCTGAACACCCACTTTCTAAGTAAAGAAAGAAAGGGGCTGAGAAACAGGGGCTGTGCTGGCCTTTCTACCTAGAGGAGTGCATCAATGGTAAAGAAGTAGTAAACAGAAAATAATACAAGCCTGAACTGCCGATTGCAGCAAGTCCACAGTGAATGCTCATACCTTGATTTCTAAGACCTGGAGAGTGGGTTATTCAAATGTTCGAACTGGAATTTGACACAACACTGTGGAATGATTGTGAATCAATAAAAAAATGTAAAAAAAAAAATAGTTCGAGTGCATCCTGGGAGGGCCGCAGGACAAACAGCAACTTCCACAGTCCTCTTTGCACCCTGTCCATCGGGAACTCTGGAATAAATGACCTGCTGGCTTTGTCATGCAGAAAAGTGTGCCCAGGTCCCACCTGTCACGCACCACCCCACCAGGGCAGCAGGTAGTAAACTAAAAAGGGAGCCTGAAGGCAGGAGGAGAGACTCAGACACAGAGTAAGAGGCTGAATTCCCTCCATCAGGCTCTGAACCAGCATCCTTTGCAGCAGATTTGGCACTGGGGGTGAGTTTGGTGCAGTGCGGTGGAGGCAGGAGGAAGACCACTGCGTAGGAATCGTGGGTCAGATTCAGGGGCCCCGATGGCCTAAGTGCAGCCAAACACATATGAATTTATCAGACACCTGCACCACGAATTTATCAGCGGGACTCTCGGGATGGATGTGGTGAAGACGTATGAGGCCCCATCTACAGATTTCCCTGGGAACGAGGATGGAGGTTCCCCACAGTCCCTTCCGTAATTCTTTCCAATTAATCTCTGTGTGCAGATTACAGGCCGCTTGAGTTACAGCATTGCCTCCCAGAGCTTCAAAAATCTCACTTTCCTGAGACTTAAGCCTCTTTCAAATCCTGCTAACAAGGGAGAGGGCTCTCCACGGCCCAGGTGAAACCGTGGCAAGAAATGAACCTCCGTGTTGAGGGAGAGGGAGAGAGAGAGACGAGAAAGAAAGAAAAAGGGAATGCTAATTGTGCCGGGGACGCTGACAGATTTGACAGAAAGTGTCTTCATTGAGAAATTACGATCTGAAGTTCCCCCTGGTTCCCTCAGAAACAGGAGGAGAGAGGCACGAGGGAGCCTGACAGGAAGTGAGGGTTCTGAGACTTCAAATACAAACATTAGAAAAAAAACAAGCAACATCTGCAAACAGTAAGTACTTATTTATATTTTATGGAGTGTGTGCTTGGGATCCTGACAGGTTTTTAAAACAGAGACCATATTAGGCCCATTCAGAGGCGAGAATGTCCCTTTTAAAAATGCATTACCCCTCTGCACCGGCAGGTCGGCCGGCTCCGCTGGCCTCAGGTGAGCCCTGACCCCTCCCGACCTGGTCTAACAAAACACACATGCGGGTTTTGCAAGGAAACCGTTTACGGGGGGCCCCTCGCTCAAGGTCAGCGCAGGCGGGCGCTGGAGGGTTAGTATTCAGCAGGCTTCTCCCTCAGCTGACAGAGCCGCTTTGAACTTTTCCCTTTTGAACAAATAGGAAGGGAAACCACAAAGAAACAAGTGCTGGGAATCATAGAAAAGAGTGTGCGGCGAAAGAAATAAATAAGCCGCAAATAAATAAATAAGTGGCCAGCCGTGTCCCGGGCAAATGAAAGGCGTCCCTCTTAGATTTTCAGTCTTCCCAGGCGTTGGGTGCCCATGAGAAACTTTAAAATAAAAACAATAGGATAAACCTTCTATCTTTCCGCCCACTACCCCCCCCCACCTCCTCCAAAGGATGAACCCTTTATTTTTGACAACAAATAAGAGGCAGTTGGCAGGTACGGTGTGCTGTGCACCATGAAATATTTAGTAAGGCAATAACGACTCCCCGGACAGCTTAAGAAAACCACGATTATATTCAGAGAGAAAGCCACGAACAAACAGAGGAGGGGGAAACACAAAGAAAGATAAAGGAAGGCCTTTCATCCGGACTTCCTGTCCAATAATGCAGCCAGGCTTGATCCATATGTTTGGAGAAAAATCAAAGTGTCACAACCATCCAAAATGTCAATAGCTCCGGTAAGGAATATTGTCGAACATTTTCTATTACACCGTTCAAGAATTTGCCTCCCAGCGCAATTTGGAAGAAAAAACTCTTTTATTTCGAAAACGCTCAAAGGAAAGAGAGGAGGCGGGGGCTGGGAGGGAAGAGAAAACCAGGACAAGGCGCGTTTCAGCACGGGGTGTAATACAATCACGCTCTGGGCTCCCAGACCATCCTGAAAGTCAATCCTCTGATGAAAGTGAGCTCTCCTCCACACCTCTCATATGTTCTGTCCTTTTTTTTTTTTTTAATAGACGCTCTTGCAAAGGCACTTCCTGGATGGTTGGATGGAACGGAGCAATCTCCGTGCAGCGGGAAACCGGAGAAACCGAACTTCCAGCAGCCTTCATATTTGGGTAACCCTGCTGAAGGATGTAAGGTTGAGTCTGGAAGGCTCTCCTGGCTTCTCTCCATGATAGGTGCCTGGAACATGGGGCAACCCACCTTAGAGGGGTGAAAAAAAAGGACTGGCGGGTAAGCAAACAATTGACTGCGGCCTTGGCAGAATGTAAACAAAATCCACACACCTTCCCTTGGGGATCAGCCTGCAGCGTCTAGTTGGACAGAACTCGCCATACGGCGTCTCCTGGATTCGCCTCTTCAACATCCTGGAAATTCTAGAGGGAAAAATCACGCCTGAGTGACTGCTGTCTGTGGCTTGTGGAATCTTAAATAGAATGAAGCAGGCCTCCGACAATCAGTATTACTGACATACTAATCTCTGTGTATAAGCCGTTGTTCACTTCAAGGCTGTCCCGGTCCCCAAAATAATTGTTAAATGCGCTTGAGACCTTTGTGCCAGTGGGTTGGTATTTCTCCTGGTCATCTACATGGAGGTAGCACGCCAGCTGACCAGGGAGGGGTTTGGTTTCATAGAATAAAACCGCAGAGCGGGCCTGACCTTGCTCCTTTTATCCCCTCTCTGCTAGGACTTTCTGCTTCAGAACATACACTTGCCAAATGCTGAGACGCTGCCTCTAACTCGTCCTGAGGGAGGGAGAAGCTGTTTGCATTTGTGCACAGGGAGAAGGGGAGAGCAGGGGCGGTTGTCTACATTTTTGCCCCAATTCCGAGTTTATCAGAAATTGTTTGGAAGCACGAGGTAGGCCAGGCACTCCACATTTAAGGTTTCAAAATTCTAGTCTATTTTTTTCGTAAGGAAAGGGCACACAATACTTCTGAGACTTCCCCAAGATTCTGAAATTTGTGACTCATGCTTGGGGCTGAAATTCACCCAATCTGCATCGTATTAAATTTGGGGATATTTTGTACCGGGTGATAAATAGCCATTCCCCTCCAAGCCTTCTGCTGCCTGCTGCCCTGGCCATACCCCAGGGCCTCCTCCCTTCCCTTAATTCGGCACCTCAAGGGTTAACATCTGGCCAAGCAGAAGGCCCTTCAGGACATCCCCACCAAGCGCTGACTGGTGGGGGCCACTGCTCACCGTTATTGAATTATTTTGATATCACCCAAGCTCAGTTCCACCACATCCATCACCCAGTCTGAAGTCTTTCGGCCTGTCCTTGGTTGGGTTCCTGTAGAACTTCTCCAGGAGAGCAACAAAGACAGCAGACGAGCCAGACTTTTCTAAGCTCTCCCTTCCTTGGTTGGAACTGGGTTTTTGACCACCCTCCATCTGAGCCGTGGATGGAGGTGCGGGAACACTGAGGAACATCAGGCCAAACAGGCGAAACTCAACCACCTCTTTCCCAAGTCACAAGCAGTAAACAGCAGCAGAAATCAGCAGCCACAAGGGTATAATTGTCATTAGTATGTAAATTTTAAAGGCGCAGCCAAAAATATCAATACCCCCCACTTAATTTATTACTATATAAAGATGGATGGTAGTGGAGCATAGTATTGATTTTTAGAGGCCTTAAAAAAAAAACAGCAAGGAAGAAAATAGTCAAAGACAACTTAACACAAAATGCTGTGTCTCCAAATTAGTCATTGTGCTTTTTTAAAAACACGCACACACAAAACCACTGTACTGACAGCCTGCGTGGTTCAATCTTATTTGATGGGCTTTTCTGAAAGTGAGGAAAAGGCAGAAGCCGTTTAGGTAAAGAGCCCTCTCAGACTGGATTCAATGTAAAGACGGGTTAGCATTTTTACTGTATTGACAGCAAACCATTAGGCAGCCACCCTCCAGCCCAGCCACTGAGAGGAAATCGAAGAGGAAGGTTCCCTGGCTGGGCTGGGCAGGGCCGCCTGTCAGCTCCCGGTCCCCGGCCGGCCGGGCTGTCACGGATCTTCCTCTCCCCGCCTGGTGTAATTCTGCCATCACTCCCACATTTACCAAAGTGTTAGTAGGAATAATCATGACCACTAGATAAATAGGGAATTCATCAGCAGGTTTGAAACTGTTCTGGAGAGGCTGTAGTCCTGGGAAATGTGTTTGTGTCTGAAATGACGCAGAGATCAGAACATCACTGTCCCCTGTGCCGTTAAAGGATGGGTCACTTCTCCGCTTCTGACATCTGGAGATGCCTGCATTTATACAGAGGGAGACGAGAGGTGGAGAGACGAGGTGGTGAGGGAGCAGAAAGGAAACGAAAGCAATAAAGATGTAGAGACATATTGATTTGGGAAGTGTCTGTACCGTCACACCACTTACTTCGTTTTGTTTTTCGGGAACTGGGGCTCTGCATCTTTGAACGCTCTCCTGATTAGAGCAGGTGAGCCTTTTTTGTAGCCTGGATCCAGGTTACTTCTCTCTACATCTCCTGGAGAGCCGAGATTTCCAAAAGAATAGGAATGCCCATGTTTGAAAGTAATAAGATAAGGATATTACCTGTCTCCTATTTCCTGAATTCCAGAGGTCTCTCTCGCGCTCCCTTCAACAAACCCTGTGAACTATGGATTACTGCCATGGGCTTTATTATGGCATCTGGGGAAACATTTTTTATAGAGATGTTCCACCAATAATCAGGCTACAAGCCAAGAGGAGTCCCTCACATTCATCAGCCTAGAAATATGCACCTTTTCGAGAAGCATTTTGTCAAGAGAAACCCAGACTCCAATAAGAGCTGTTCAGCAGGGTCTGTGCTATCAGACTGAGATTTCTAATTTATCAGGATGCCTCTGCCGTATGAAGCAAGAGCTCTCCTCACTTTGCTTACGAAGTAGAACTGTGGTTCACAATGAACATCTAGTTGCTAGCTGTCTTCTTGCTGTAATTGGATTTAATTCATTATCTTTCATTTCAATAAAATCACAGGGAAAACACAGGGATGAAAATGTGTAGGCTAATTGCTTATGGAAATTCAAGTGCCGCCCTCGGTATAAATTTACCCCTTGCATGAGGAAGACACAGTTGTGTCATTATCCTGGAATTTTCACAACAATATGTAATTATAGAGAGGAGCAGGTGTAATTAGCGAGTCTTTCCACAAAGCAGGTAGCATTCTTGGTTAAATATTTACAGCTGCGCAAACAGCCAGTAATAACAAGAGTTTTCTCAGCCACACGTTACAGAGCATCCAACAAATATTATGAAAAGTGGTCATTATCAGCCCGGCAGGCACTGCTTTGCCTTCTCGCTTGTGAGAAACGCTTCTGTGCGGTTTGCAGGACGGGAATCTGGGCTGAGTCGGCAGTGCGGTTTCAACAGTGATGAAAACACGGAACTATGATCACCTCTTCCCTTGCTGCTGCCGAGAGGAGCAATTAAAGCTGCATATTTAGAGGTGACATGAGCCAGGACTCCTGCACAGAAAATGCGTCGCTTTTTTTCCCCTTCTTTCTTTCCTCGGTCCCTTTTCTGTCCAAAGGAAACCCGCAGCAAACGGCAAAGATGCCGAAAGCTGCAGGCTCGTAAACTCCAAACCACTCACAAGGGTCAGCCTGACCTGCAGCTGTCGCACAAAATAAAATCAACGCAGCCCCCCACCCCTTCCTGGGCAAACACCCTCCGTGGCTCTTTATTACCAAATGATATGAACTTTGACCCAACCTGAACAAAATTTAATATTTTCTCCCAAATATTTTAAAAATGCATTCTGGGGCTCTAGAGGAGTCAGGGAGTCTGCGAGCTGTAATTTGACATCTGAATTATTCTGAGGCTGATACGGAAAGCTATTCACAAGCTTATTTGGAGAGGTGTCAATCAAGATATCACTTGTGCAGGGAAGATGGACGCAGGCTTAGGATGGCAGATAGCTTTCAGGGAACTACAAAATAAAGGGAAGGCAGGCTCTGATGAATACGTTACGTCTTCATTCTTGACGATGTCATTTTTTTTTCTCGATAGAGAGTACCAACCTAGGAGACTGGTATCCCCAGGATGTGCCTTTCTCCACACCTGTAAAGACATTTTAACATTTATTAAAAATGATAACCATAAACAACAAACATGGTGTCTGAAACTCGCCTCTGTTCATTTCAATGCGCTGATTAAGATTTTAAGCAACGCTTCTAAATTAAGAGTGTCAGGCCGCCATCCTCGTCACAGGGTTGAGGTCCTGATCTCGCACGGGATTGTTTGAGCAGGCAGCCTTTCGGAGTGGATCGCCGAGCCGGGCCAGCGACGGTCCATGTTCTTTTCATTCCTTTTCGATGCGATGGGGGTGACTCAATTAGTCCCGATCATCCATGAGATGTGGCCCAAAATAAAACGGCTGGGCTCTGATAGCCTCCTCCCAAGGTATTTCCCAGCTGACAAGTCACAATGTTAATTACCCATTGTTGTGATCTGAAAGACACCGAATTTTAATTATGTAAATTCGGAGCCATTTTGTTCCTAGGAGCAAAAAAGCAGCAGACAGTGTTTTCCGTAGAGGGAACTGTAATTCCTGTTTGGAATCTCGGCAAACAACGGCAGTGCATGTGACGGGGCCAGGAAGAGTCAACTTCATCCTGGCCTGAGCAACCAGAGGACGACGTCTTTCTCAAGAGACAAAGAAAAGGACATGGTCTCCAACATTTCGTTTCTTTTGGTATCTTTCTTGGGGGCCAGTTTGCTTGGCCGTGTCTGCTAACGTAGAGGGTGTCTATAATGGATGGCTTTGCAGTGGGCAAACAAACGCCTCCACCTTCAGTACCTGTGACAGCCAAACCATTATCAAACAGAAGTTACATCAAGCACCTCCAACAGTTCCCCCAGATAAGCTGGAAATGTTTCCTGCTAACTACCAAAACTCTATTTAGAAAAATCCTTCAAGCTGAAGAATAAAATCAAGTTCTCCTTGAAGCTACGGGGATCCAGGAATCTTCCCCATTTCCCAGGGAACTCCTTATTCTGGAATTATGTTCTCCTTGGCTGTTCCTTCATCCGCTCATCATCCCCTCCGTCATTAGGAATCTGTCCAATGTCCAAGAGGTACATGGTACCGAGAGCATATGGGTGTTTATGGGGATCAAGCTGGACTTGATTTCAAGTTGGACTTGATCCCCCAGGGTTATATGGTGGTGTGTCTCAGAGCCTTGAGAAAACTGATGGGGTGGGGAGGGATCATGTAACTCAGCTAGAAAAGAATATAAAATTTTACGATTATATTAAAATGAACAGTGATATATTATGGACTAGAATTTAAATTTATTGATTTTTAAAGATGAAACAGGGGACTTGAAAGAAAATGTTCCCCTGGAGCATATTACCTAACCCTTGACTGCATCACACCCCAAGCCCTGGGAGGCTGGGTGAAAGATGGTTCAAGTTTTTGCTCCTTTGCTTTGAAAAGGCCTGGTGTGCCTTGGTCCTCAAAAAGTTTATGATCTGGTGCCTTTTTTTTTTTTTTACTGCTTCTCAGTCTGATAAAAAATGAACCAAACCGCGTCACAGAAGACCTGGTCCTACCCATGGGGTAACCTTTAATGCAAAGGACCAGAATTAGGACGAAGAGGGAGCTCTGGGGCGTGGGAAGGGAGGGGGAGCGTGGGGGAAGAGCGCATGCTTCACAAATAGGTCACGTCAACAGCCAAGAAAACAACTAGCCAAACTTAATCTGCAAGGTAAGCGGGCAACCAGAGACCTCACCCCCACACCAGTCCTGTTTTCAGTAGGATTTTGGCAGAATAGCCTGAATTAAAACCTAATAACTTTGAGCAAGCCTGCCATAAGATGATAAATGAGAGGAAGAAGAGTAACTACCACTTAATGAACACTTGCTATGTGCCAGGTTTATTATCTTCTCACCAGATCACTGTCACAAACCCATTTTCCAGATGAAGAAACTGAGGCTTCAGGGGCCTGAGCTTGCCCAAGCAGACACCTCTAGCAAGCCTGTGCTCCCATCCCTCTGCCACACCACCTGCCTCAAGTGCAATTCTGTACTCCAGGTGCTCAAAATTTGGGTGGCCTAGAGGTCTCCCTGGAGAAGAGAGAAAACGGAGACGACCTCAACTAAAAAGAAGCAAGGAACGATGTTTTCATTCCTGATCGCTGAATTCACAGCCTCCGAGCATAGCTGCTGTCTCCTCCTTTCATAAACGCATTTCTTCCCTCTCCATCGGTCACTCCTTCCTCATCTACTTGCTCTGCCTTAAATATCAGAGCCTCCTAGGACTCCATCCAAGACTGTCTTCTCCTCTCACTCTGCCTTGTCTCTCCAGAGCAGAGTTTCTCAGCCTGGGCACTACTGGCATTTGGGGCTGGATAAATATTGAGGGGCTGCCCTGTACACCGTGAGCTGCTCAGCAGCGTCCCTGGCCTCTACACACCAGACACCAGCAGCTCTCCATGCACCCGCATGACTGGGGCAATCAAGACTGTCTCCCAGACACAGCCAAATGTCCCCTGGGGGGCAAAATTGGCCCTGGTTGAGAACCACTGCTCTAGATGAATTGCTACATCTTTAATTCCTGTTCCTCCGTATTTAATTACCAACTGCACACGTAGATACGGACCATCTCTCAGAGCTGCTAGTGCTCACACCTCTCTCCCAAGCTTGGCCTTACTTATTATCAGACCATGGAGGTCTCACAAGCGCCTCAAACTGAGCACATTCAAGAACGAATCTATTAGTTCCTGGACCCCCAAAGTTGCCTCTCTTATCTCAGAAACAGCCCCCAACACGTGTGAGTCATCCATCAGCACCCCCACCCCTCCAATCCACTACTGCTTTCTGTTAGTTCTGCCTTCTGGCTTTCTCCTGCATCCGCCCCTGCTTCCCATTTTCAGTGTCCCTCCGCCCCCCCCGCAAACCAGACCTTGGTTGTCCTCCTCAGCCTACCCCTGCCCCATCCACATGTGCACAACAATATTCCCCACAGTGATGTGTAAGGATCTGCTCATGGTAGCCTCCCTGCTTCCTTCTGATCCTCTGGTGGTTTCCCTCTGCTCTTAAAAGAAAGTCTGAATGTCCACCATGGCCGGAGGCTGGCCTGATCTGGTCCTGCAAGCCACGCTCCCTGGGCTTAAGGCAGTTCACCAGGCGTGGTCACCAGCCCCTCATACATTTGGTTCCACCCACCAGGACTGCCCATCTCTCACTTAACTGACCCCCATTCACCCTTAAAGACTCAAATTTTCCCTGAATTAGGTCCCAAGGTGTGCTGATCCTCCCTTCCACCCCTCACCGCTACTGTGACTTACATGGTAGTATTCTGTTTGCTCCTTTAATTATGAGTCTTCTCTGCTAGGCTCTAAGCTCTGTGACGACAGAGACCCTGGTCGATTCATACACCACCGTCTATACCTGCATCACTGTCTACACTTGCATTGCATTGTTCAATATGGTAGCCACTGAGCACTGGAAATGAGGCAAGTGTGAACTGAGATGAGCTGTGTTAATAAATGGAACGAGCAAACGCATCCTCCACGCACATGATCCAACATGCCAATCAGACCTTGTTGCTCTGCTACTTAAAACCCTTCAGGAGCTTCAAGAAGGACTTTGAGCTCCTCACCACAGTCTGCAGAGTCCTTCTACCCCAGGATCCCGCCCGGGCTCCAGCCTCAAGTCTCACGCCCCATGGGAACTTCATGGCTCAGCACAGGCTGTTCCTTCTGCCTGGGTCTACCCTTCCATCCCCTCTCTGCCCAGCTCTCTCTGACTGCTCTTAAAGTCCATCTCCCAAAAGCCATCCTTGAGTCCCATGGGACAAGGAAGAGGCCCTACTGGATTACAAATCATTCATTCATTCCCTGCATTAGCTCCTGGGGATCCAATAGTGAGGAGGAAAGATGCTTTCTATCCTCTGGGAGCTTACAGACCGGCTCCCTCATCAGACTCTGGGCTCCTGACAGCGAACACGTCTTTTATCTCTGAAACCCCATCTGTAGCCCGGAGCCTGATATAGGTCTCAGCCATCATAAATGTTTTCACAGATAACAAAATCTCGTCCACCCTGATGCCGCGGGTCTCCGAGAAAGCATTCACAGGCAGGTGAGCGCCATTCACGCCTCAGCCTGGGATGCTTACTGACCCCCTTCCCGATGCCCCTGGGGAGAGGGGTCGGCTCAGCCCCGGAGTTACCAGTTAGGCCAGCATTTGCTCAGGGATTACTGGGCCCCTTCCAGGAGGGGATTACCTTGTGTCCAAGCCCACCGGGCATGGGAACAGCCCTCCAAATATTTGCTGAGAGTTCCTGACCTTTACCTCCCGTCCCCCAGCCCCAGGGGGCGGGCGCGTGATCTGCGCAGCTGCGGGCTGACCGGCAGCTCTGGACTCCTCCCTCCGCCTTTCTCCCTGCCGACTCCCAGCCATCCCTTGGGTATTCAAACCAGGCCTGGCTGCCAGGGCAGTGCCTCTGCTGAGTCACTCTTCCTATTAAATAGGGAGGCAGGATCCTCCCCCTGTTGACTCTAAGACCATTAATGCCCTGGGTGGCATCACTTTAATCTGTGCTCTTGAAGCCAACCGCTGTCACAGGTGCCTGGCTGGGAGGACACCGCTTATATTAAAGCTCAGGATGGAGGGGAAAGCAGCTCTGGCCAGCAGCAGTGCAGCTGGGGAACTCAGGGAAAGATGAGCCCATGACGGAACATCTGGAATGAGACACAGGATGTGGAGGGGATGGCTGTGGCTTCTGAAAGTTCAAAATTTCCCCCAACTCCCCCTCATCAAGATGAGCCACTCAGCTAGACCAAAGACATTGCATGAGGTTCTCCACAATGTTGGGATTCTTCCTGCAGGCAGAGCCAAGGGGACAGGGCAACAAGGTCATTGCTTACTAAGAGGCAAACCAGAAGAGGACCAGGCCAGGCAGAGTCTCAGAGAGACACCCCCATCCTCTCCAGGCTACAGGTGAAGAGAAGGGTTGACCGGAAGGAGGGAAGAGGCTTCCCTGGAGGGGAGGAGACCTCCAGGAAGAAGACAGCAAACGGGAAGATGCAGGGAAGGCTCAGGGGTCACGGGACTTCTGTGGGACAAAAGGCCCCACAGCAGGCGTCATCATTCTGGAGAGAGAAAGGCTCAAGGCAGACGGAATCGAAGGGTGAAGCATCCAAAAACATGTGTCTGGGTGAATACCAGCCCTGCTTGCCGGGACCACGGGGAGGGACCCCCTGAGGCTGGAAGAGATTGTATGGGGTCAGATAAAAGCAAGCGTTACCTGCATGAGGTAATGCTGGGGAGCTTTGCCACAACCTCCCCCAAATTGTTATGTATCTCTGCTACACTGAAAAGGGTCTGATTGTAAATGGAGCCGCAGTTATGGGGAGACCTCCAGGGAGGTACCTGGGGAGTAAAAGATGGTGTGTCTTGCTTTCCTACTAGGCAGGCAGGTGGGCCTCGCCAACAGAGGGGACTCAGACTCTGGTGATGGCTCCAAAGTGATGTGAGGAATGCTTTCATAGACCCCCCCCCATGCCAGCAGCCCCACCTTTGGCCGCAAGACTGACATTTCTACAGCGGGGTATGAAGGGCTGGCAGACACCGTCTCATGTGCCATCCCCTCCCTCCCACCCGCAGGCTGGCTTCCCTGAGTCTCTTAGAAACGACCATGACAGCATCAGAAAAGAAAAGAGGGGAACGTAGCAAGCCTTTCCCAGGAGCAGAGACACCAAAGTCTCAGCTCTCCGAGGAGGGCCATGGTGCCCAGGGAAAGATGAGCCCAAAGGCTAACTCCTTCACAGGAGAGCAGATAGAATTCCGATGAGCCCCAGGCCCAGAGTGGTGTTGGCAGGAAGAAATTAACAGGTACAAGGAGGCCATGGGCATGATTCCAGTGACAAAGCCGGGCTCGGCACCAGGGGAGGCTAGGCTCTGCCCCGCCTGTGAAGTTAGGCTCAGACGAGCCATGGGCCTCCCAGGAGAAAGCACTCTCTAGCTCCCAGTCTCTCGGCCCCATGGCCACTTCCTCCAGGAGGCCCTCTGGGACTGTTTCTCTTCCCACCTGCAGTCAGGGTCTCACCATCATTGGCTTTCCGGGACTCGGCTGTGACCTCCCCGGGACTCATCTCAGTTTGTGATGACACACGGTTGAGTACATTTATTCAGTGACTGAATCTTGCATTGGCCCCATGGGGACAGGAACCGTGGGGGTTTTGTTCTGTATTCTCAGAGCCATCACATACCTGGATGTATTTGTTGGGTGAACAAGGTCTTGGTAGCGACAAGGGTCAAGGCTCCAATCCAGGTGGTGTTTTCAGCCTAGTGAAGACCCAGCTTAGACTATGCCATGAGGCCAAATTCCCCTCCTGTGAAGACCCTTCTTCAAAGGTGGGATTTTCTTCTCAGGCCCTTCTCATCAGGCCCTTTTTTCTTTTCTTTTCTTTTCTTTTTTTAAGTGGAGGTGCTGGGGATTGAACCCAGGACCTTATGCATGCAAAGCAGGTGCTCTACCACTGAGCTACGCCCTCCCCACCTTCCCCAGGCCCTTTTACCAACCCACTTCCCTGCCCACAAACGAGGGGAGGAGATCACCTTTTCCCACGGGCTAGAGGCGGGGGTCTCTCTCTCCAAGTATGCTGGTCCCCCTCGTCTGGCCACCACGTCCCCACGATGCCCAACAGAGGTGTCTTATTTTTTTTTCTTTCTTTGTGCACAGGTTACAGGAGGGCCAGAAGCTGGAGGCCCTGCCAGGGCTGAGGCTCAGCGCCTCTCATAATGGGAGGTCAAATGAAATGAAAACCCACCTCCCTGGCCCCATCATCTGAATTCCTACATTGGCTATGACATGGCTAAGGGGAAAATATTGGATTTATTTTTATGAGTTAGTCATCACCCTAAGGCCCTTAAGAGGAACCACGCGAAGTGAATCCATTCAGAAGGTCAGAAGGTCATCGCTAACTTGTAAAAATAAATCCAATATTTTTCACTCTGTCTTATTAGATTTATATGATGCAGACATCCGAGGGAGGTTCTTTTTTTTTTTTTTAATGGTCATTTTCCAGTTCTAGTTAGAGTATTTCTTTCTCGCCTCAACCAAATACCCAGTTCATCTCCAGGCTTCTGATGATTGCCTGGCTGTCCGGCAATTTCTCAATTTTTTTTTTTAAGAATGTATTTTGAAATGAGTCCCTGCAAATCTTCACATCTCTTTCCATCATTCCACCTCTACAGAGATGAGCACCAATGTTTCTGGGCCGAAGTAGCCAAACTTGGAGGCTGAATATAACTGAAAGTACTTGACAGGTGATACCCACCTCATAGGCTCAAAAATTCACTTTTTATCTGGAAAAAAAAGGCAGGAGTGTAGGATCCATGGACTCACTGTCATTACCCAGGAAACCAACTGTGCCACCCACCTGCTGTCCCTCAAGTTCCCAGGTTGCTTCTGCCTTGGCCAGCATCACTCAAATGACAGTGAGGAGTTACCACTTATCAGCAAGTTTATGGGAAAGTCCATCCCTCTCCTGGGTGTGTGCTCAAGCTCACTCCCCTTTCTTCTCTTTCCTTCCTTACTGTCTGCACGCTTACTTCCTCTAGCGAGAGTTTGACATTTAATCATAACTGTTTTCTGTTCCCAAAACCAGCTCGGGCTGCTATAACAAATTACCATGGGCTGGGTGGCTCCCACAAGACAAATCCATTTTCCTCCAGTCCTGGAGGCTGCAAGGCCAAGGTCAAGGTGGCAGCGGATTTGGTTTTACGAGGCCTCTCTCCTGGGCTTGTAGATGGCTGCCCTCACATGGTCTTTTTCTTTTTCTCTTTGACTGATGAGAGTCACACTGGAGGAGGGCCCACCCTAAAGACGTCATTTTCACTGAATCACCTCTTTAAAGACTCTGCCTCCAAACAGAGTCACATTCTGAGGCTGGGGGTTAGGGCTTCAACTTAGGAATGGAGGAGAGAGGGGGACAAAATCCAGCTCGTAACACCCTCCCAAGACAGACACTAAGCTTTCTAAGGCCGAGGAGGCTCTGTCTTCAGATGGCTTTCCTGTCCCTCGCAGTACTCCGCTTACAACTCAGCGCAGACGGGGCTTCGCAGAGACTTGAGGAGTTAACGCTCAGCAGTGAGAGGGCGAGGATGCGCGGATTATCTTTAAGGCACATGACTGTCCAGTAACCATCATTCTTGTTATTTCATAGCCGCACTTCATATTTTATCCGTGTGCCCATGTCCACACATGTTACCCTCTCACGGACCACTTTTCTCTATCAGAGACACGTTGGACAGAAAACGCAGGAATGGCGTTGACCGTGATCTTAATCTGCTGATTACGAATGGTGGGAACCATCATAGCCCCCGTGGTTTATTTGTGTTTCAACCCCTTTTTTGAAGCTGAAATTGCAAATTATTGTGTATTCTCAGGAGAAAAGCCATCAGTGTGAATTTCCAAGGCCACTTTGCCTCCTGTGAGACTTACCTAGAGCCAGTCCGATCGGCCCCACTGGGCTGGACGTGTCTCTGCTCCCCTGGAGAGTGTGAACAGTCATGTTGTCACAGGACCCTCTGGCCTGGCGGCCCCACCTCTTGTCTCCCATTCCTTCTCAGTGATGAAGAGGCTGGAGAACGCTGGTTAGGCCAGGGGGCTTGGAGGAAAGTGAGTTCTGGAATTCTCCAGAATCCATTAACTAGTGCTTTAAATTCTTATCGCTGTAAGCTTCATTTGCCCTCAGGAATATATCTTTATGCGAGAAGTAAGCTGCTCTCAGAGCGGTGTGATTTTAAGGGTCCTCCTGCACCCAGAATATTCAGCATGCTTCAGAATTCCACCATTAAAGCCACTCCTTTGATTCAAGGAAACCTTTTTCAAAGTGTGCTCTGTGGAACATTAGGTTCATATAAATCACTATCTTGAGGTGAGAAGAGAGGGAGGCGGGTAAGAAAGAGTTCTCTAAGGAAAGGGAGAGAGACTGCATTTTCTTTTCCACATTGTCCTCCTAGCTCCTAGCATGAGGCCTGCCACGTTGGACAGACAATCAATCTCTATAGAGCGATTGTCTCACTGGCCAGATAAGTTTGGGAAACACCAGACGAAAGCCAACATTAAGTGAGTTTGCTTTATCTTGGGCCTTTGCAGAGCTTCCGTGAAAGGATGTTCCTGCGGGATGCCGAGAGAGGGGGCTTCTCTGTAAACATATTTATTTGCATCTAATATTCCCAAATGCAGTTAACCGCCAGATCAAGATGCTCTTGTTCTACAGCGGAGGAGTTTGATCAATGAAGAGCTTCCTGGGCGGTGCTGAAGGAGAACACTAAAAAGCGCTGATAAAAACGGCCTTTGTGGGGACTGAGAAGCCGCTGTGTGGTCGGGGAACCTGGAGGTTTGGGAAGCCCATCTGAGGGATATGCTGACGGGAAATGCTGTCTCTGGAAGTTACCTGATTGAACGTGTTTTGGTTGCATCAGAGGTGGGCAGAGAACAGAGTGTTTCAGAGGATGCTGATTTGCGTGGATACATCCCTGGGTCCCCAGCAGGTGTCCAGGGCAGGTAAATCTTCATGGGATGGGAGAATGAGCGGGAAGTGGGGAAGGATGCGGAAGGAGGGGAGCCAGCAGAGCTGAGAATTGGGGTTGGTGGAGCCGGAGAGATGGGTGAGGGTGAGGAGTTGGGGCCCCAAGAAACCCTAAAGACAGGTCATATATTGTCGCGACGACCAAGCCCCACCCTCCCTGCTCCCTGGTGCCACCAAATCAATTCGACCTCATCACCAAGAAGCTAAGTCCATTCTTTTCATTCTGGAAAAAGACAGAGAGACAGAGAGAAAGAGAGACAGGACAGCTCCCATCTCTCAGAGCTTCAATTCAGCCCTCCCTTTGATGAGCTGCCGGCATGAAGTGCACAAAAACAAGAGCAATTTAAAACTCGGGAAACTCGGCTTTCAATAATTCCCCGCTAGGTTTCCGGCTGCAGAAGAGTAAATAACACATCGGCTACAAACGCTGGGAGCAAAATCGCCAATAACGGCTCCATGCTTATGATAACTTTCCCAATTTTCTGCAATCTCCACCGCTTCTCTCTTGACTTGGGGTCTGTATCAGATTTTTTTTTTTCTTTATTGAACATCTGCCTTGGGAGCCACTGTCACAAAAAGTAATAAACACATCAATCCAAAAGAAAAAGAGAGGATTGTGCAGTCCAAACTACTTAACCAATCAAATTGGCAGCTGGAGGGATGAAATGGAGGGGTGAGAGCTAAGAGACCCACTTCTAGAGAACGTTTCTAATGATGGTTCCCACCCGCGGCAGAAGGTGTACCCAAACTGCACCAGGGCTGCCGAATAAGTTAATTGCAGTTTTCTAACACTAATTATAGACTGCAACCTTTTTTGATATCTCAAGCCCTGGGATTAATTTGTAAGTCTTTCGTTCAGCCAAAATTTGACAGCTCTTACTTTGCCTCTGCCTCCTCCAAAATATAAGAGAACAAGGGGGAGGATCTGTCTTGGAATAAAGAATTCCTCTCCTTATAAAATAAATCCAAACAATCATATCGCCTCTCAAATTCTTACCTGTGCATCCTGCAAACGTGTACTAGAGAGGGCAATTATGATGTTCACTTGTCCCTGAAGGTCCCCCCTCCCCACCCAAATAACAACAACAAAAAAATTATGCCTGAAAGGGAAACAAAAGCAATTTATGTTTTCCAGTTATCGTCCCAGAAATAGCCAAAGATTACTTGCATACCGAGCAGATGAAATCAAATCTTTCACTACTGCTTAAAAAAAAATCCTATTACAAATTACATTTAACTCAGGTGTGTATAGTTTGCTCGTTCTTATCCAATTGTAAATTAGACCAGGGCTGCCTGTTGGGAGGGAAAAGTGGCTTTTGAAACATGTCTTATTGACTGGGTATAAATTACCTGCAGCAGATTTGTGAAGCAAATTTGAAGCAGGAGATGCCTTCAGGCAACATTGTATTGATTGCAGATTGATATTCAGCTGATTTTTAAGGTGAAAAATAAATATTGTTTAAGCAGCAATTTAATTAACAAATCATCGCACAAATGGTGAGAATGTTGTGTTGTCTAATACAGGGATTTAAGCTTTTTTTTTTTTAACAATTATCTGATAAGTGCTTAGTTTCCCCTGTAGATTAATTGTCTTTAGTTATCACTCCAAGTCTCTCTGTGAATCCGCATAAAGTAAAATAATGGTTAGGGGCTCCCCGTTCATTTTTCTTTAGACTCTAGGAGTGAGACCTCTCCCTGCTCCTGAATGAAATGAACACGCTTCTCTTTAGCCCTGGCAGAATCTGAGTTGTGCTGTTTTTAGCAGGACCCTTGTGAGACAAGTGGAAACCGGAGGGAATTGGGATGCCCAGCTGTCAAGGCAGCTCTGGCCTCAAGTTGTCACATGACCTTGGGCAGATCACTTGACTTCTCCTGGCACGGGTTCCTTCGTGGCTTAGATCATCCCTAAAGTACTGGTGTCCTGATAAACAAGCAGCTGTGTGCGGGGGAAGGCC